AAGTTAGTACTATTCAGATTTTCAGACTTTCAGAATGAGAGTTCAGAGTACTGAAATGACATTTAAAAAACTATTTTAACTGGTTTCACTCATTAAATTTAAAAATTAAACTTATTTTATTCTGAATCTAAAAATAAGTCAAGATATAATTTGAAGATTTCTTGAAAAATTAGATGAAGAGGTAGCTGATTCATTTATTCTCCAAGACTACTCTTGACAGGCTCATTTTTCATTGTCACCAAACGACAGAATTTTCTTTCATTTCACCACAAAGGCTCCTTGAAGTTCCCTCTGGACAATTAATATAGCTACATTTATCAGTCTATGTGAGATTGTTCAAAGTTTCCTCATACCCTTTGCTATTACTCTTTTAGATTACACAAATAATGTATGCTCATTGGCAGGGAAATGTACGTTTTTACTGATGAGGGTAAAAAGGATAGTGAGGAAGACCATGAGTAATGAAATCAATCAAAATTATCGATACCTACTAATGTTAGGTATTGTTCTAGAGTTTTTCACATTATGTTACCTAATCCTAACCAGGAAGCACAGAATTGAAATTTGGTTTTAGCTCTGATTACCAAATTGTTGTAATCAAAGCGTGAGGTGATAAAGGCTTATATTATGAGGAAAATGGAAATAGTGAAGTAATATATAAGAAGAAATTTGAAAGAAACATTCACAAACCTTGACAGTCTATCATAGTTTAGGAGATCTAAAAGAAGAATGAACTAGAAATAACTCTAAGGTTTGAGAAGCTATGAGAGTGAAGGATAAGTTCTCTTGGTTATACAAGAAGAAATATCTAATAGGCAACTCTAGATTTGATAGAATGACTCAGATAAGAGCTCAAGACTAGAAATACTGGTTATTTTTATCTCAGGCACATAGAATTAGATTACGCCCAAACCTTGGTAATGACACACAGTCATGTATTCTCTGCTTTTTTAGGAAAGTACTGTTAATAATGTAATAAGCACCCACAGACCCAGTGAACAACAAAAGTTAGGACCTTGTTAATAATTACATTGAATCATGTCCTATCCACCTTCATCATATTGTCTTCTCCCAGAGAGAAAATTTTAGCCCCCAAATGGATTCACTGGAAAGGTCTTGCAAACATTTAAGGAATAAATGAATTAGGGGCATGTGGGTGGCTTAGTCAGTTAAGTGTCTGACTCTTAATTTTGGCTCAAGTCATGATTTAAGTTCCTGAGATTGAGCCCCTTGTTGGGCTCTCCACTGATAGCATGGAGCCTGCTGGGATTCTGTCCTCTCCTCTCCTCTCTCTCTCTCTCTCTGTCCCACTCTCCCACTCACATTTTCTCTCTCAAACATAAATAAACATTTGGGGAAAAAAAATGATATCAATTCTGTATGAGGTCTTACAGAGAATTAAAGAAGACAAAATACTTTCCAACTCTTTCTATGAGAGCAGTATTACTCTGTTAACAAAAGCAGATGTTATTAAAAAAATAAAAGACCAATATCCCCCATAAACATGGATGGAAAACTTCTTAACAAAATTTTATCAAATTGAATTTATCAGTAAGTTAAAAGGACAATGCATCATGACCAAATGAAGTTTCTCTATGAATGAAAAGTTGACTCAACATTTGAAAATAAATTAATGTGACTTACTATAAAAAGAATCAAACATAAGATTATCTCAATAGATACAGAAAAAACATTTTATTAAATCCAACATCCATTCCTAAAATTATTCTACCACAATAGGAATACAAAGGAATTTAATCTCATAGAGGGCATCTAAAAAAAAATCTACAGCTAAAATTGTATTTAATGATGAAAAACTAAACATTTTTCTCCTAAGGTCAGGAACAAGGCAAATATGTCTGTTCTCCCTACTTCTATTTGACTTTGTACTGAAGGTTCTAGTCAGAACAGTCAGGCCAAAAAGAGAAAGAAAAGACATACAGATTAGAAGGGAAAAAGTTGAAATGTGCTCCTAGATGATATAGTTATCTATGTAGAAAATCAAATGCAATCTACAAAAAACTTCAATGGAACTAATAAGTTACTTTGGCCAGGTTGCAGGATAGAAGATGAGTATACAAAATATATTTCTATATACCAGCAACAAATGATCATCAATTGAAATCTAAAAAATAACACCACTTACAATAGCATCAACAAATACGGAACTATTTACAGATTTATATGTGAATGCAAAGGACCTAGAATAGTCAAAACAAGTTAAAAGGAACTAAGTTCCTCTTAAAGTTACACTAAAGAACAAAGTTCCTTTCTAAGTTACACTAACTTTTTCAAGGCTCATAATAATATATACTAATCAAGAATATGGCATGGTGACTATAGTTAAAAAAAAAAAATCCCTTGGTACTGGCATCAGGACAGACTGATGGAACAGAATGGAGGGTCCAGAAATAGACCCACCTGTGTATGGTCAATTGATTTTTGACAAAAATTCAAGAGCATTTCATCAGAGAGATACCTTTTTTTTAAAATAAGTGGCCCTGGGAAAATTGTTTATCCGTATGCAAAAAAATGAAATTTTGTCATATACAAAAATCAACCCAAAATGGCTGAAAGACCTAAATGCAAAACCTAAAACTATAAATCTCTTAGAAGTAAATATAAGATAAGTTCTTTGTGACTGTAAGTTAAGCCAGTACAGCACCAAAAGCACAAACTATAAAAGAAGAAAATGATAAGATAGACTTGATCAAAATGAAAAGCTTTTGTTCTTCAGAAGACATTGTTGGGGTGCCTGGGTGGCTCAGTCGGTTAAGCATCCGACTTCGGCTCAGGTCATGATCTCACAGTTTGTGGGTTCGAGCCCCTCATCGAGCTCTGTGCTGATAGCTAGCTCAGAGCCTGGAGCCTGTCTTCGGATTCTGTGTCTCCCTCTTTTTCTGTTCCTCTCCTGCTCATGCTGTCTGTCTGTCTGTCTGTCTCTCTCTCTCAAAAATAAATAAAACATTAAAAAAGAGAGACATTTTTAAGCAAATGAAAAGACAAGCCAAAGACAGAATATCTTTTCAAATCATATATCTGATATAGATCTTTTATCCAGAATATATAAAGTACTTTCAAAAGTTAGTGGAAAATAAATAACCCAGTAATAAGAACGGGCAAAAGATTTGAACAGATACTTCTACCAAAGAATATTTGTAGGTAGAAAAGAAACATATGAAAAGATGTTCAGTAGCATTAATTATTAGGGAAATGTACATTAAAACCATAATGTGATGTCACTACACACCTTTAGAATGTCTAAAATTTAGAAGACCATACCAAATGCTGGTGAAGCTATAGAAGTACAACTATCATATACTGTTGGTGGGAAGATAAAATGGTACAACCAGTTAGAAAACAGTTTGTCACTTTCTTAAAAAGTTAAACATACATCTACCATAAGGTTAGCCATTATACTTTATTTACTCAAAAAAGCATATGTTCACACAAAGATTTATACATGAATATTCATAGCAGCTTTATTATAACAGTAACTGCAAACAGCCCAATGTCCAGCAACAGGTGAATGGTGGTATATTGAACAAACTGGTATATGTATACAATGGAATCATATTCAGTACCGAAAAGGAACTATCAATGATCCAACTTTTGATGGATGAATCTCAAAATACTTAAGCTGGATAAAGGGGCCTGTTAAAATAGTACATACTATCTGATTCGATTTATAGAAAATCGAATCTTTGTTGACCAAAAATGTACCTTCCTGGGGAAGGAGGTGAGAGAAGCAAGAAAAGGGAGGAATTAAGGGATCTGAGAAAATTTGGGGGGTAATGTATATATTATCTCGATTATGGTGATGGTGTCACCATTTCAAGTTATCAAACTGTGCACCAAAAAAAAAAATTTAAGTTTATTTTGAAAGAGAGACAGCATGAGTGGGAAGGGGCCAAGAGAGAGGGAGACAGAGAATCCCAAACTGGCTCTGTGCTGTCAGTACAGAGTCTGACTTGGGGCTCAATCCCACAAACCATGAGATCATGACCTGAACCGAAACTAACTGAGCCACCCAGGCACCCCCAAACTGTGCACTTTATATAAGTAATTACATCAGATGTTAAATGGACTATACATTGTAATTAAAAGATATCAGAATTGGGGCGCCTGGGTGGCTCAGTCGCTTAAGCATCCAACTTCAGCTCAGGTTATGGGTTCGAGCCTGGCATCAGGCTGTGTGCTGACAGCTTGAAGCCTGGAGCCTGCTTCTGATTCTGTGTGTGTGTCTCTCTCTCTGCTTCTCCTCCACAATCTCTTAAAAGTAAACTTTAAAAAAATTTAAAAAGATCAGAATTGACTTTTCAAAACAAGGCCCAATTATATGCTGTGTCCAAGAGATGTACTGTACATGTAAAATAATAAGTTGAAAGTAAATAACTAGAAAATTATATAGATCATGCAGACTAAACTTAAAGTTGGTGTATCTATTTTAATATCAGAAAGTTCAAGACAATGAGATAAAAAGGAAATTTCATACTGATGAGTCAATTCAAAAAGATGATATAATCATAATGCATATGCACTTAAAAGAGGTTGAAAAAAATGACAGAATTAAAGGAAGAAAGACAATCCCACATATCTAAAGACTGATAGAATAACTGGGCCACAAAAAAAAAAAAAAAAAAAAAAGACACAGAAGATCTCAATAACACGATAAACTACCTTGACCTAGTTGATATTTATAGAGTAATACACCCAGTAACTGTCAAATACAAATTCTTTGCAAGTGCACTTGATACATTCACCAAACTGTTCTGGGCCATAAATTTACAAGGATCTTCTAATCCATGCACCTTGTACCCTTTTATACCCTGAATCTTGGGCAAAGGAGCTGAAGGTTATCACAATTTATTACTTGCCTGGATTATGTCAGTATTTTTTGAGATGCAATTAACATGTTATTTATGTTTACAAAAATACATAGCAAATGAAAAATTAAGTCATTAAAAATTCTTATACAATACTAATATATTTTTTTTCAGGTGCAAAAATATACAAAGCTCCATAATCACTCTGAGACCACATAGAGCAAACATGAATGAAATTTCCCAGAAGGCTGAGGTAAGTCTCAAACATTAAAAAAAAAGAGGGGGGAACATAGGCTTGACGGTAGAACTGCTGAAAGGGCCATTGCTTGGTGGAAAGGTCATATTCAGAAGTTCATAATGACATAGTGTCAAGATATAAAATGTAAGAGCTAAAATTCACAGGCTGGTGTTGGGCCCAGTATTGTCATTTGGATTCTAATCTTGGAAGCATAAAGATAGTGAAATGCATATGATGGCTAACATCTTGAATAGAGTTTTAATACCTTGATAAGTTATTTTTTAGTATTTAAAAAAACCAACAACCCAGATTTGACGTATACTTTTAGGAGAAAGCAATGATTCACTCTCTGGTAAAGTTTCTTAGCTACTTCTCCCAGCGGCTGAAGTAAAACTTCTCTTAGGCTTTTTCTGGTCCTTGGCTGTAGTTTCTGCGAGTTGTAGTAAGAAGAGCTCAGTTGCTGACACCCCAACATTATGAAGTTTAAAAAGCCTTAAATGGCCAATGATACCATAAGAAGATAATAAAATAGAGACTGGGTATGCCACAGGATTAATAAGTAACTACTGACATTTTATTTACTGAAACATCTTCTGGATCAGCTTAGTTTTCAAACCGATGAAAATTTTAAAAATATTTTTAAAAAACGAAAATAATTTGCTTTCCTGGTTTTAGAGTGGAGGGAAATATTTTCTCCTGTCTTTTACTAGAACCCTCCTTTTCCGGGAATCTCTTTTGCCAGCCTAGAGCTCAGCCCACTTGGAATGATAGAGCATTTTTACACATTTTTAATGTTGGCTTACAGAAGTTCTAGATGGCAGTACAGCAGTAGTAACAACATACAAATCACTGCTTTGCGCAAAGACCCTGGAGCACATCAGGCACACATGGGAAATAAAGGGCTCCCCTTCAGTTTATTCCTATTTGATATGGAAACAAGAGTGTTGATATATGAATTAGGCTATAAACTTTAAAGCCTGAACTTTTGCTTTATTTTCACCTTAATTTATTGAAATTAGTGAATTTATTGAAATTAATGTCTTTTAAGTAAGAGATGTAAAATCTGAATCTTTAATAATGTTGTAGAAAAACAAAGTGCAGGTTGTTTTAAATTATAATCCAGTATTCAATTTTTATATTTTGTTAGTCTTTAGCCTCAGTGGAATGCATCTACAAAGTGGAACGAACTCCTTTTCTATTATTAAAGTTTTACTCTCATTTTTCTGTGATTTCATTTTTCATACTTAGACTTTAGAAAGTAATCAGATTCTCAGTGTACAAATATTTGAGACTCATTTCTGTTTTCTGTTTCAATAAGTATTTCCTATATTGCTGATGCTGATCTATCTTTACTTGATTTCTTCCTATCTTATTTTTTTAACCTTCTTCTCTTTATTTTCTTCTAATGAAGATTCTGCTTTCTTCATCTAAACCTGTCCCAAAAACCTATGTGCCAAAACTTGGCAAGGGTGATGTAAAGGATAAATTTGAAGCCATGCAGAGAGCCAGGGAAGAAAGAAATCAAAGGAGATCTAGAGATGAAAAGCAAAGAAGAAAAGAACAATATATTAGAGAGAGAGAATGGAACAGGAGAAAGCAGGAGGTTATTTTATTTTATTTTATTCTTGTGCAAAATTCATTTTCATCTTTTTAATTTATGCTTTGTTATTCACATTAACCATATTTTATATTAAATGTAATTAAAACTTCTCTGTATTTGTCAGTTAATTTCAAACTTTGCATATAATGTAGTCTAAATTTTGGACATGCTCATATTTATTTAATCATTTAGATTAAAGAAATGCTTGGTTCTGATGATGAGGAAGAGACATCTTCTAAAGTAGAAAAGGCCTATGTCCCAAAGCTAACAGGTAAGAAACCTGAGGGGTAAATTGTAAATGAAATTGCAAAACAGAAACATAGTAAATATCAAACATGTTTCGTATATTCTTAGGAACTGTTAAAGGTAGATTTGCTGAAATGGAGAAACAAAGACAAGAAGAACAAAGAAAGAGGACAGAGGAGGAACGAAGACGCAGAACTGAGCAGGATATGTTAGAGAAGAGGAAGATACAACGTGAATTAGCAAAAAGGGCTGAGCAGGTATACACTAAATATTAAATTGGTATTTGCTTCAGAAACTAATTGTACAAAGTAAACTAATCAGTACATTGCCTAATTAAAATATATTAATATAACATAAACTTAATAGCAGCTAACTTGAAAACAAGATCTTAAACACAAATATTAAATATCAGATAAATATTTAATATCATCTACCTAAGAAGGATTAAGGGCAAAATATACTTATTTTAAGGTTGAATGCTAAGATAACTTTTGTTATGCACCGACTTGTCATTCAGTCCTGATTCCTTATGCTGTCCACATTTCTTCTTTTTCCTGACATGTTAGAGGATTTTACAAAGATGTAAGGCAGTATACATAAACTATCCACAATATGCTGGTCTTTCAGTAGCAATCAATAAATACTTGTTGGTTATTATTACACAGTAAGGCATAATTAGGGTATCTTCCTACTCAAGAATTTGAAACAAATCACATTTTATTTAATAATGGTATTATTAGCTAGCTTATTAACTTTTTTTTTTTTTAAGTTGGGAATGATAGTAGAAGAGGGGAGAAATGTGGGACAGCCATTTCCTTCATAGAGCCATTGCTGATGCCCATAGCCACAGGGGATAAATTAGAGGGGAAAAATTGTTCCTATGATTTTATATAGTCTCTTAATGAATTTAGGATTCCCACGTATTTTAGCTCAGAGCATGAGAACTAAGAGGCTGGTAAGTATTTTTAAAATACTCAAGAATATGATTGAATTTCCAGAAAAAGCTAATCTCTCAAAGTGACTAATGAGTATAATGACATAGAAACTTAATAGTCATACTTTTAGTAAGTAAAGAATTGACTAGTTCACAAAATTAATGCACTGATATTTATTATACATTATCTCTAGCCATAGACTTGAAAAGATGACAGTTATATTGCTTATGAACTTAATCTAGTCTACATTATAAGATCAAAAGAGATGATCAGTGTATTGAGTTTAGTGAGATGGCATTTATCTCCTAGAGTTGTTAATAGTATTATATGAGTTAATAAATGCAAAGCACTTAGAAAAGTGCCTGGTACACAGTAATAGGTGATAAATAATATTTCACATAAATAATAGTAAATACAGATAAAGGTCATGAAACCATTTTAGCTCCTCTTTTCTCATCAATATGTTAACAATATATTAACATAGTCTTCATAGTATAAAACCATTTTTATTGTGAAATTGTACTTGGCTCTTTTTTGTCTACTCTTTAAGTACTTTAAATCTATTTGCTGGGTGGGGGAGAGGGGAAGGGGGGTGTGGGCATGGAGGAGGGCACTTGTTGGGATGAGCACTGGGTGTTACATGGAAACCAACTGGACAATAAACTATGAAAGAAAAAAAATTTAGTTGCTAAGTTCCTTCCAGATTCCTACCTTTCTAAAAAGAAAAAAGACAAAGAAGGCAAAGCATATGCCGTATTTGCATGTCAAAGAAATTTATTTACCCAGACTTTGCAAATAACCATTTCTGTGGCACAAATAACCACTTGTATAGTGGCAAATAATGACATAATACCAGATGAATTATAGAAAACAATTGGAATTTCCTATATTTTATTACTTTGTACGTCTTTATCTAATTAAAGGATGGTATGTACTTTACCTCTGATATCTCCAGTTATCAAAGATGAGAATTGAGGGGTGCCTGGGTGGCTCAGTAGGTTGAGTGTCCGACTTCAGCTCATGTCATAATCTCACAGTTCGTGGATTCAAGCCCCGCGTCGGGCTCTGTGCTGACAGCTCAGCCTGGAGCCTGTATCAGATTCTGTGTCTCCCTCTCTCTCTGCCCCTCCCCAACTCGTGCTCTGCCTCCCTCTCTGTCTCAGAAATAAATAAACTATTAAAAAATTAAAAAAAAAATTCATTTTGCAATGAACTTTCACCCAGGAATATAAATGAGTATTATAGATTATACATTATAAATATAAAATATATCAGTATATGTAATTATATTTACAATATAAAGTATAAAATAAGGTAATAAAATATATAATTAAAATATATATTTGGCAGTAAATAGTGTACCTGGGTTTAGTCTACTTATATTAAGTCTTATAAACTTTTTCAAAAAAGCACTGATTACTCACTAGACTTTAAGACCCACTACCAGCCCAAGAACTGAATATATAGGCAGTGGTTTCTCAAAGAAAAATGACGTGTGTGTTGAAAGAGGTGAGTTTGAATATGATGAAGACATGGGATACTCAGAGAGAGAGAAGGAGACAAAGAACCACTTCTTTAGTAACTCCAGAAACTACATGGCAGGGTGCCATAGAGTCCTGGTTAACGAAAATTTTACTCTCTTACGTTATTTGAGAATATGTAGGTGCAAAATAGTAATTTTATCTTACAAATATGGAAAGTCCAGCTTTAAAAATTAAGTACATTTTCTGCTCAAAACTAATAAAATTGAATCTATCTTTGAATATACGAAGTATGACATGGGTAATCAAGAAAAGTTTGTTTTAATTTTTGTTTTTTAGTAGGGGCCTAAAAAGTTTGTTTTAGTTTTTGTTTTCAACACGGGGCCTGAACTTAACGACCCTGAGATCAAGACCTGAGCTGAGATCAAGAGTCAGATGCTTAATAAGCTGAGCCTCCCAGGTGCCCCCCAAAAACTATTAATGTTGGGGCACCTGGCAGGCTCAGTTGGTGGAACATGAGACTCTTGACTTTGGGGTTGTGAGTTCAAGCCCCAATTTGGGGGCAGAGTTTACTAAGAAAAAAACATCTTAATGTTAATTTGAAAAATTCACTTGTACAAGTCCATATTCAAGAATGCTTTAGAAAGGATTCCTGAGTCAGGAGAACTACCAGATTCTACTATCTTATGATGAATTAAAAATGAGTATACTTTGTATACTGGATGTTAGAATCAAAGACCAATAAAACTTGGGTGATAATCTTAATTTAGTATAATTTTTAAGGGTTTTATTTTTGGGTTGTTGTTTTTTTTTTTGAGAGAGAGAGAATGCACACAGGGGAGGGGCAGAGGATCTAAAGCGGGCTCTCTGCTGTCAGCCCCGATGTGGGGCTTAAACTCACGATCTGTGAGATTACCACCTGAGCCGAAGTCAGATGCTTAACTCACTGAGCCACTCAGGAGCCCCTTAATTTAGTATAATCTGGTTATCTTTGAGGATACCCTAATGGGCAAGGTTAACATCTATCAGCTTAGAAAAAGAGAAATTATTGATAGGGGCTGTGGTGTTAAAAATAAAGGGAGTAGGGGCTCCTGGGTGGCTCAGTCAGTTAAGCTTCTGGTTTTGGCTCAGGTCACGATCTCGCGGTATGTGGGTTCAAGCCTCACGTCGGGCTGTGTGCTGACAGCTCAGAGCCTGGAGGTTGTTTCGGATTCTGTGTCTCCCTCTCTCTCTGCCCCTCCCCCTCTCATGCTCTGTCTCTCAAAAATAAACAAACATTAAAAAAATAAAAAATAAAAAAATAAAGGGAGTGGTGCCTGGGTGGCTCAGGCGGTTAAGCATCTGACTCTTGGTTTTTGGCTCAGGTTATGATCTCCCGGTTCAAGAGTTTGAGCACTGCATCTGGCCCTGTGCTGATGGTGCGGAGCCTGCTTGGGATTCTCTCTCTCTGCCCCTCTTCTACTTGTGTGCACGCTCTCTCTCTCTCTCTCAAATAGATTAAAAAAGAAAAGAAAAAGAAAAGGAAGTTGCTTTGAGAAGGAGGAAAAGGAGTTGACTTTTCATAATCTAAAGAAAGAGTTGGGAAGCAGCTCTTCAGTGGTAATTTCTGAGAGCCAACACTATAGGAACTGAATATCTCAGTTCTCTGTGAATGTACTGACACCATGGCCACTCAGACAAATTCATCTTTTCCTTTGTTGAAACTGAATTGGGGGAAAAATCCTATATTCTGTTAAAGTTTTGGTAATGGCTTAAAATGAGCAAAGAAAGCATACAACAACAAAGCAGAGTCACCTCAAATATAATTTATTGTCTTACCATAAGCTAAGAAAAATCTGAGAAGGATCTAGCTACAAGTAAAAGAAATTTGGGGTTAAGAAATTCAGAATTTGGGGCACCTGGAGTTGGCTCAGTCAGTTAAGCATCCTACTCTTGATTTCGGCTCAGGTCATGATCTCATGGTTTGTGGGTTCCAGCCCCATGATGGACTCTGCACTGATGGTGTTGAGACTGCTTGAGATTGTCTCTTCCTTTCTCAAAATAAATAAGCTTTAAAAAAATTAGAATTTACCTTCCCTGTACTCTCAATGTCTGGTGTCTTACCATATCTCTTAGAAATTTTCATTAGAGGGACAAATATGATTTGTGAAAGAATTGTTACCCTTCTTTTGAAAGGAAATAGTTTTAAGTTTATTTATTTTTAAGTAATTTCTGTACCCAATGTGAGGTCCGAACTCACAACCCTGAGATCAAGAGTCGCATGCTCTTACAACAGAGCCAGCCAGGCGCCCCTAAAGGGAAAGAATTTTGTAACTATTATATATTAAAATTTTTCTTAGCTGGGCACCTGGGTGGCTCAGTCAGTTGAGCTTCTGTATGCAGCTCAAGTCATGATATCATGGTTTATGGGTTTGAGCCGAGCATCGGGCTCTGTGCTGACAGCTCAGAGCTTGGAGCCTGCTTCGGATTCTATGTCTCACTCTCTGCCCCTCCCCAGCTTGCAGTCTATCCAAAATAAATAAACATTAAAAACAATTATAATTTTTTAAATGTTTTATTTATTTTTGAGAGAGAGAGAGATAGAGACAGCATGAGCAGGGGAGGATCAGAGAGAGAGGGAGACACACAATCTGAAGCAGGCTTCAGGCTCTGAGCTAGCTGTCAGCACAGAGCCCGATACGAGGCTCGAACCCATAAACTGTGAGATCATGACCTGAGCTGAAGTTGGGTGCTTGAGCCACCTAGGCGACCTAAAAACAATTTTTTTAATAAAATAAAAAATTTTTTTTCTTAGCTAATATTTTTAAAAAGCAGGGTTTTTTCATTATTCAATAAAACTGTCACCATTTACATAGTAAGTCAGTGTAATATATAATTCTTCAAAACAAATTATTCCAAACAAAACAATAAAATTATTAAAATATAAAATATATTTTTAATTATTTCTTCAGAATTTATTTTTCAAGAAATTTGGTATCTTAATAAAATGTGTTAATTCCCCTGTGACAGAGAATAAAGAAAGGGGAAATGGAATGATGAATAGGGACTTAGCCAGAATTCTCTTAGACTACATTAGGAACAAATTATTTCCAGACTCTCGCTGATTTTAAAAATCATGTTAAAATAATAAAATCTGAATGTTTACTTCCTAACTTCTCTCATTTTCCCATTTCTTATGTTTTCTTTTCCTGACATCTCACCTGTGAATCTTCTTTCTCATTTCTCAATCTGTTACATACATTAGCCTGCTCCTCAAGCTAACCTAATGGTGTTTCTTATGAGTAATGCCAGAATTGAGACACCTTAATGACTGAGGGCCTTTCCTTCCTACATGTAGTCAAATATAAACAATAATATCTACCAGAATTCTTCTCCCTTCTAAACTAGCCATGTGAAAGCTGGTGCATTGCACTGTATTATTGTATCAGTTATATTTTGCCATGTATTTATATTGTAAAATATAGTCATAATTATTTGATTACCAATGATAGGTTTTACTTGGCTGGGGCAGAGACATAGAATGAAGAAATGTTTCTGTATCTCAGTTTAAGTTGCTAATTTAATTAATAACTGTGCTTCTAAGCTTACAGACAGGTTGTAACAGTTTGGTCCATTATTCAAATCCCAAAATTACAAACGTAGGCTTTATCTTCATTTTTCTTAGTATACTATTCCCCATATATTGATTTTGATGTCAAAATATAAAAATAAATGTAAGGCTTATCTCCACTTAAAAGGATATAATAGGCTAATATGCAGCAACATAAAAATATTTCAAAAATTACGAATTTGAATATTTACCATAAGTCACAACTAAATTACTTTTCAATTGTATGTTTAAAAGGAAAAAGCAGAAATTCAATGTAATGTAATGATATGAAATTCTCATTCAATAGATTGAGGACATAAACAATACGGGAACTGAATCAGCATCAGAGGTAAATGGACATTTCCTTTAATGAAACATTCACCTAAAATTATCTGATTCACAAATAATCTTTTAATTAAAAATTAAAAGCATATCTATTCTTATTTCCATAGCAACAACAAAAAAAGGACAAACATATTTTGCAAAGCAAGATCATACTTTTGCATTCTCTGAAACATTATAGCTTAGTGTCTTAAAAGTATGTTTTTGCTTTCATGGTTAGAGACACAACTCTCAGTTTGAGATACTCTGCCAACACTTTGTATTTCTTGAACTGTTAATAGTTGAGACTGTTGAAAGGTAACATTTTCAAAAAGCAGGGTTTTTTTTCATCATTTGTCTTCTTTCCGCAGAGTTCCTGATAGTTTGTTTTTATTATCACATACTAGTAGAAAGTATAGTAAATAGCACCATGAAGGAATGTTCCACAACCACAGAAATTTTAGTTAATCTCTTTTTATCTAACAGAGAAAGTTAAACATCAATTTGATGGTGTGCCTAAAACTACAGCCATATAAAGTGGAAGCAATTTTATTTTAGCAGCATGTATTGCATATTATGACTCACTTTAGTTTTGAAATTAGTTTAGATGTAACAATAGATTATGTAATAGAACTAATTAAAATGAATTTTAAAAACAACAGAATTAAGAATATTTTACTAGGACCAAATGCCAATGAGTTTTGTCTATAAGCAGTTTATAAATCACTTGAATATACTGTTTGTTTTTCCTAAATATTAGTTTTGTTAAGTATTAAAACTTGCATATAGAAAAGGAAAGATTTTCTGTGTATTTAAACTGAATCTATCCACCATCAAATTGATGTAGAGTATACTCACATGCACATTACCTTTTGTGGAACTAGTGCATGGACAGCTAAATTCAGATAATGTCATGCAGTTTTATCCAAACAGCTGTATTAACACCACCTTCTGGGAAAGAAGATGCTCCTTGAACCTTCTCATCAATGGATTTCAAAGATTAACTTAATGTACAATGAATTCAGAGAAAGAGGTATTGAATAGAAATCTGTAAAAAAAAAGTATATATACATATAAAAGTATATACATACTTATATATATGTGTATATGTATATATATATATTTAAAAGCATATATATATATTCTTTATAACATTGATGGCCATGTAATAAAATTCACCAATAATGTAGGCAAAGTCCTGTGAAACCTAAATTTTGGTTAGGAAGAAATATGCTAATTATCTATTTTATAAATTAGGAAGGAGATGATTCACTGCTTGTAACAGTGGTACCTGTCAAATCACACAAAACTTCTGGAAAGATAAGAAAGAATTTTGAAGATCTAGAAAAAGAACGAGAAGAAAAAGAAAGGGTCAAGTATGAAGAAGATAAAAGAATAAGATATGAAGAACAACGGCGATCTCTCAAGGAAGCAAAATGTCTTTCATTGGTCATGGTAATTTTTTTTTAAGGAAAAAATTAAAAGCAGTTAAGTTGGTTAGCACTATTTCCTTTTGTAATTAACATGTGTTTTCACAATGTTTCTTAGGATGATGAACTAGAAAGTGAGGCAAGAAAAGAATCAATTTCTCCTGGGAAATTGAAACTAACGTTTGAAGAATTGGAAAGACAAAGACAAGAAAACCGAAGGAGGCAAGCTGAAGAGGAAGCACGACAACGTTTAGAAGAAGAGAAGCGTGCTTTTGAAGAAGCAAGGCGGCAAATGGTAAAACATATATGTAACACACACACATATTTTTTTAAAGATTTTATTTTTCAGTAATCTCTACTTGAACCCGCAGTCCTAAGATCAAGAGTCGCATGCTCCACCAACAGACCCAGCCAGGTACCCCTATGACATATAGTTTTTACATATGATATTATATATAATGATATAGACATTATATATAATATATAATAGTTTTATATATTTATATCTTATATATAAGTTATATATTTATATATTTTATATTGTATATTATATTGCATATTATATATTTTTATTACATTTCATATTATATATTATGTTAAATATATAATACATATTTATATATATATTATATATTAATATATATTTATATATAATATAACTATTATATATAAAGTAGATAATATTAGGGAAGGAAGCTGAGTTTAGCTAACATTCATTCCTACAAATTCAAGATTATCTATATAAAAGAGTCTGATTTTGAAACTACATATTTCATATACAAAATGCATCTGTATTATTTTCTAGTTTCCATTTTGGGGCATTTTACCTATTATACTTTACATTTTTATTTTTATAAATTATTGGAAATATGTAATTACTCAGTGAACCTAGTTTCTCTTTATTCAGCCTGCAGGGTATTTAATGACAGGATACAGCACATGCACACTTTCAAGTCTAAACATAAAGATACAGTTTTAGTCCAGTTTTTCAAATACTTGAATGTATCAAACTCAGTTTACTATGGACTATGCAGCTTGCCGTATGAAGTAGGTAGATTTATATGTGCATGTGATGTATATAGTGTAGTCGTTAGTAGCATGGATTCTGAAGCCACGGTGCCGAGATTCACATATCTACCATTTATTAAGTGTGGAAGCAGAGACAAGTTATTTAACCTGTGTCTTAGTTTCCTTATTTGTAATATGGTGAAAAATAATTGTGTCTACTTCTTAAATTGTTAAGTGAGTTAAAACAGAAAACAATTAGTGTCTGGCATATAAGTGCTGTAAAATGTTAAACTATTATTATATTTCTAGCAATAAAAATATATTTATCAATAAAACATAAAATTGAAATAAGAAAACATTCCAAATCTCATTATAAAAATTGTAAGAAAGGGCACCTGGATGACCCAGTCAGTTGAGCGTCTGACTTTGGCTCATGTCATGATCTTGTGGTTCATGAGTTCAAGCCCTTCACTGGGCTTTCTGCTGTCAACAGAGAGTCTGCTTCGGATCATGTGTCTCCTCTCTCTGCCCCTCCCCCACCTTGTACACATTCTCTCTCTCAGAGATAAATATCTAAAAAAAAAAAAAAGGCTCCTGGGTGGCTCAGTCAGTTTGGTGTCCAACTCTTGGTTTTGGCTCAGGTCATGATACCATGGTTTGTGAGTTTGAGCCCTGGCTCAGGCTCTGAGCTGACAGTGCAGTGCTATCTCCATTTCTCTCTGCACCCCGACTGCTTGTGCTTCTGTACGCTCTCACATGCTATCTCTCTCTCTCTCTCTCAGTCTTCCAAAATAAATAAACTAAAAAAAACAGTGTATACTTAAAATTTTTCTAATTTTAATGGATATCTATAATTTTTTTTGGTTTCAGAATTTTTTTTAGTGTTTATTTTGAGAAAGAGAGAACATGCAGGTGGGGCGAGGAGCAGAGAGCGGAGAGAGAGAATCCCAAGCATGCTCCATGCAATCAGCACAGAGCCTGACGCAGGGCTTTATCTCACGAAGTGTGAGATCATGACCTGAGCCTAAATCAAGGGTCAGACTTTAAATAACTGAGCCACCCAGTTGCCCCTAAAGCTTCAGAATTTCTTGATCAACTTTCATTAATGATGTTCTAAGGACTCCAAAAGTTAAATGTTCTAGACATTTGTTTGAAATTATTATTACTTTTGAGTAACTACAGTTTCATAATATCTATACATTTTAGCTATTGGTGGTGGTCAATTTAATGGAAAGAAACAGAAATACCATAAATCATAAACTTCAATAAATAATATTAAAGTAGAATTTTAATTATAAAATCATAAAATTTGAATTTCATAAAAAAATACTCTTATCTAATTAGTATAAGGAAGAGTACCATAGTTCAAAATAAAAAAAGAAACATGAAAATTACAAAATGAGAATTTTATTTTACTACAAAAGAGACTCTGTATAGGTACCTTGAACTTCAGTAAGTATACACACACATTTATGTTTTGTCCTGGGAGAGTTAATGTTTAATAGAACTTTTAAATGACCCCTTAAATTTTTTCAAACACTTCATTTATCTATTTAAAAATTTGACTTTCTTGGGAACTTTTATTTAACTTGAGTACATCTTTATCTGGAATTTCCTGAAATTTGAATATTGCATCATATAAGACGATATAAAGGAAGGGAATTTTTGGTCAAATATATTAAGGGCAGGGAAACATTCATGTGTGAGGTGGCTGATTCTGTCCCTTTTGAGGTCATTCATTGCTATCTTTGATGAATCTCAGTTCTTAGTAATGAGTTGTTTCTTGGTTAGGTAAATGAAGAGGAAAACCATGAAACAGAAAAAATTTTAAAAGAGTACCGCCCTGGTAAACTCAAACTCAGCTTTGAAGAAATAGAAAGACAAAGGAGAGAAGATGAAAAAAGGAAAGCAGAAGAAGAAGCCAGAAGGAGAATAGAGGAAGAAAAGAAGGCATTTGCTGAAGCAAGGAGAAGCATGGTAAGACAGAATGGAATTGGGAGAAGGCCACTAGGATTCAGCTTTTTAAGAGTATGTTAAGAGAGGGTGTCTAGCTGCCTCTACTAGGACATGCAACTCTTGATCTCAGGGTTGTGAGTTCAAGCCTCACACTGGGTATAGAGATTACTTAAAAAATTAAAAATTTTTTTATAATTTTAAAAAATATGTTAAGAGCAATAATTAAACTTTGGAGAATATTATTTCAGCAATGTTTCAAAAGTAGGGATAGCAAATAAGGTTTTAAAATCTCCTGTGGTATAACACCAATCAGTTAAAGGTGTTTGCTTCAATGTAATGTTGAGACAGTTCTGATTAAATTGCTATGCGTGGCATAGACGATTGACAATATAATGACCATGTTTTCCAGAAGTATGTAAGCAGGGAGCTTCCTACTCTCACCCTTTCTTCTATTCTCTCCATTCTTTCCTTTCCCACATTTCCTCTTTCCTTCCCCATTCCTTCCTTTCCTTCTTTTGTTTCACTTTCCATTCCATCCAGTATATAGTAAATGACCAAAGCCATTTAATCACAATTATTTAACTCTCCAAAATACTCACCCATCACCTCTGGATATTGCTACCAAACTTAATTCTGTCACAGTGTTAAACTCCTTATACAATTTTAATGTTTGTAAAATGCAGTTATCTGACAAACTTTATTTTCATGCAAGCTGATGTGAATGCTGCATCCCCTTCTTGAAACATTTTAAAGTAACCTCTACGCCCAATGTGCGGCTGGCACTCACAACCCCAAGATCAAGAGTCACACATCCCACCGACTGAGCCAGGCAGTCGCCCCAAAACATTTTAAGTAGGCTCTACACTCAGTATGGGGCTTGATTGAATTTACAACTCTGACATCAAAAGTTACAGGCTCTACTGATTGAGCCAGCCAGGCGCCCCCTCACCCTTCTTGAAACATTCTAATTGGCTTCAGTGATATAATTACCCGGTTTTCTTGTCTGAGAGAGCTTCAGGCACATATACCCACATTTTTATTTGGCTTCATCACCAATCCAGATGCTCAAATCAGAAAGTTGGGAGCCTTAATCACTTTCACCTTCTCATTCATGCATCATATCTAATCATTCACTAAGTTTTATTCATTCTACCTTCTAAATCACTCTAAAAATCTATCAGTTTTTCCTTTATTTCTACTACTATTGTTATCCTTTCCTTGGGTCACCTATCTCCTCACAGGTCACAGTTATCCCTAGCCTCAAACCAACTTCGTTTTAACTTGTTCTCTTGCCTATAATCCATTCTTCCCTGTAAAGCCAAGTGATCTTTCTCATCTCTTTTCAAGTAAATTTTATTGTGTTACTATTTTGCCTAAAATTTTTCCATTTCTGGGGTGCCTGGGTGGCTCAGTTGGTAGAGTATCTGACTCTTGATCTTAGGGTTGCAAGTTCAAGCCCCACACTGGATGTGGAGCTTACTTTAAAAAAAGAAAAAGAAAGGGGTGCCTGGGTGGCTCAATTGGTTAAGCGTCCAACTTTGGCTCAGGTTATAATCTCATGGTCCGTGAGCCCTGCATCAGGGTCTGTGCTGACAGCTCAGAGCCTGGAGCCTCTTCAGATTCTGTGTCTCCCTCTCTCTCTGCCCCTTCCCCACTCAAGTTCTGTTTCTCTCTCAAAAAATAAATAGTGAAAAAAATAAAAAAGAGAAATGTTCTACTTCCCCTAAGCAAAAATCTAAATTAAATTTTTTTAAATTTTTAAACAATTTTTTAAATAATATTGCTCTGGTGTATTTTCCCAGCTTCATTTCTTGATTCTTCCTGAATCTGCAGTCTTTTGTTCCAGACATACTAAATTTTTCCCAATTTCTTCAAAATACTGTGCTCTCATCCATCTGGATCTTCATAAATGCTGAATGAAACATGTCCCTTTCCTTTCCCTATGCTCTAATTCCTTTTTATATATTCCATTTCCTCAGGGAAGCTTTTCCTGAGAATACAAGTTCCAAAGACATGTTCCTTATTTACATTCTTATAGCATTTAGTATTCCCCTGGCATAGCACTAAAGCTGTCTTGTTGCTTACAGCTGCCTTTCTCATTCATGAGGCTGAGACTGTTCATCTGGCATGTGGCACAGTGCATTCTATTATAACACATTTCCTATAAATGTTTGTGGAATATATTAAAAGTTTTTAAAAAATTACTTAATTTTTTGTTAAGTAAACTACCCCCAACATGGGGCTTGAACTGACAACCCTAAGATCAAGAGTTTCATGCTATACTGAGCCAGTCAGGTGTCCCTTAAAACTGTCTTGTGTGTATTACTAGGTAATCCTTGATTCACAAATGATTTCTACACAGAAACCCTATAGGCATTGTGAAGGCACTTAATGTTTGGAGAATAAGCAGGTTCAGAAGTAATAGACAAGAAGTAGTAAAGGTCAAGTAAGTTTCAGGAGATCTAGTCCCAGGGACAGATCTTTAGGTTGAAACTGCCATCATTCACTAGTGGAAAAAAGTACAGGGAAAGAAAACTGCATTAAACCAAATTCTAGTTTCCTAGAGATATTTCCTAGGAAAAAGAAACTATTTCCTTCATTTATGTTGTTTTCTTATCCAGGACCATATTTTAATTTTGTATTATACCTCAGTTAATTCATGTATTAATAAAAATTTTTGGCAATCTTTGGATTGGATTCAAGGAATGCTAATATAATAATAAAACTGTCATTGGGAGCTTACCTTTGAGTGTCAGGTAAAGTGCTAAGTGTTTCCAAACTTTGAATCTCATGACAACTGCATGAAAAGTCATCACAGATGGGGAAACTCACAGAGGCTAGGGTAATTTGCCCAAGATCACAAATAAATGCCAGTTAGACATGTAATTCATGTAATTACAAAAAGATAGTCTAAATCATTATTTATAATTTGATTAGGCTTTTGAAGTTTTGAATCCCACATTTGCCACTTAATATTTGTGTTGACTTTGGACAGGTTACTTTTCAGTGCCTCAGTTTCCTCATCTATAAGATGGGGGGATATTAATAATACCTACCTCATAAGATTCGAATTAATCTGAATTAATCAGGTCAATACATGTAGAGTGCTTAGAATTTTACATGACAGCTCTAAGTATTAACTATTATTATTAACCTGACTGTAATAAGTCAGTACAATAAAATTACAGCATTAAGAGTGATTTTTACCTGATTATGAAGGAATCCTGATGGATTACCTAATAATCCAGACAAAACCATGATTTAACTGTGAAATACTCTATTTTAATCACCAAAATGGAAATTCATTTTAATTCAATTAAAAAGTGTTCTTAGTACTGTAAAATCTTAATGTCTAACTCAAATTACTCATAATACAAAGTCAAAGGACTTGTGTTCATTGGAATGGAGAACAGACGGTCACCATTTCCTCTGCAGCCACAAAAACACTTTAGTCTTAAGTTTTCTAGTGATTTTTACCTTGTTTATTGTTTTATACTTTTGAAGAGATTTAGGGTCTTCAAATTTTTAGTTCAACGTGAAGCCTTTCTACTCAAGTAATCAGTTTCTACAAAAAAAGAATTCCCCTCTTTAGTATGTGTAATTTTGGCAAGAGTAATAAGAGTCTTATTTTAAATAGGTAGTAGATGATGACTACCCGGAGATGTATAAAACAATTTCTCAAGAATCTCTTACACCGGGAAAACTGGAAATTAATTTTGAAGAATTATTAAAACAAAAAATGGAAGAAGAAAAACGACGAACAGAGGAGGAAAGGAAGCATAAGTTAGAGATGGAAAAACAGGAATTTGAACAACTGAGACAAGAAATGGGAGAGGTGAGATTTTAAGAAATATTCCTTTATATCTTCCAAGTGTTTATTAATGTAAGTATGTTACATGTATCTTACAATAACTTTCTGAGTATTATTAAGGACACTCACCATACTATGAGGTACCTGGTACAAGTTTCAGCACAGTTATGTGCACTTTCTAGCCTGATAGAACTCTGCTCCTTCCTTACTAGTTTGAATCACTTATGATTGCAGGGCACCTGGGTGGCTTAGTTAAGTATCCAGCTTCAGCTCAGGTCATGATCTCGCGGTTTGTGTGTTTGGTTCTTGGGTTTGAGCCCAATGTTGGGATCCTCTGTCCCCCACTCTCTCTGCCACTCCCCTGCTTGTGCTCTCTCAAAAATGGATAAATACTATAAAACAAAAACAAATATGATTGCAGGTAATTACCTTAAGTGAATATATCTTCCTATATACCTCACAATTGTGTGGTCACATTATGATTGAGAATTGTTTCCAGGTCATGCATAAGGTTTAACGCTCTAAGGTTGCCAATCTTGATTTTTATTAAAAACAATTCTTTTTTAATTTAAGTAATCTCTACACCCAACGTGGGGCTTGAACTCATGACCCCAAGATCAAGAGTCACATGCTTTTCTAAGCCAGCCAGGCACCTGGCCAATCTTGATTTTTAAATCAAAAAATTTAATTAAAATAAAATTTAAAACTTAATTACAATTTTAATAATCTTGTTTTTGAATTTGTAAGTGAAAGCTCACTGGGCAGTGGAGTGTGTACTAGAGTCTTAAAGCACTGAAACCTCCTGCTGTCCCCTGCCTCCCTATGGTGCATTCTCAGAAGCCCTTTTTCTACCTCCGGATGCCCTAAGGCCCTTTTCTTTTCTTCTTCTTCTTTTTTTTTAATGTTTTATTTATTTCTGAGAGAGAGAGAGAGAGAAAGAGAGAGAGAGAGCGTGTACGCATGAGTAGGGGAGGGTCAGAGAGAGAGGGAGACACAGAATCTGAAACAGGCTCCAGGCTCTGACCTGTCAGCACAGAGCCTGACGCGGGGCTCAAACCCACTAACCGTGAGATTGTGACCTGAGCCGAAGTCGGACGCTCAACCCAGGCGCCCCTTTAAGGTCCTTTTCTTTCCCAGAGTTGCCACCCTCCATCTGGATGGCCAGTTGTGCAGGCAGAAGAGGGGAGGGAGAAAGAGGGGGCCAGCATTCCACTGCCACCCTCAGCCTCTGATAAGGAGGCTCCTGGCAGCAGCATGCGAAGGATTAGGGATCAACACACAGCCCTGTGACTTGGGGGGAGATGGGCAATGGCTGTCCCAGACTCAGATTGGCAATGACAGGCATGTTTGGTAGGCAACTTGGTGGGGGCCTCCTGCCAACTCCTGACCTATGTAGAGGTTGCAATCTCTTAGAAATTGCCTTTGTGTTATGGGTTGGGACAATGGGCCTGTGGGGAGATTTACTTCCTTGCCGTAGCCAATCTAGAGACTATAAATACTATATAAACATATAAGTAATGATAAAGTATCATGAATATGCTGTAGGAAAACATTCCAAGGTCTAGCCTTAAAATGTTTTACTTTATATGTATACATACATATATGTATTAGTATATAATTTTTGAGAGAGAGAAACAGGGTGAGCAGGGGAGGGGCAGAGAGAGAGGGAGACACTGAATCTGAAGCAGGGTCCAGGCTCTGAACTATCAGCACAGAGCCCAATGCCAGGCTCAAGCTCCCAAACGTGAGCTGAAGTCAGATGCTTAACCGATTGAGCCACCCAGGCACCCCAGCCTTAAAACTTTTTATTTTTTATTTTTATTTATTTTTACAAATAGTTTATTGTCAAGTTGGTTTCCATATAACACCCAGTGCTCATCCCCACAAGTGCCCCTCTCCGTGCCCATCCCCCGCCTTAAAACTTTTAAAATGTAATAGTATTTATTTTATAAAGGAAGCTAAAAGTGAATTGTCTAGAAAAACTTGTAAATTATATTTTAGTATACTGAGATGGAATCTCATTAACATATGGCAGTGTGTAACTGTCAGACATCTGGTGCCCGTAAAGGACTTACCCCAATACGTCTGGCAGTTTCTAAGCAAGTAGCACACCAGTTCCAAGATCATCTACACTGTAGCTAATTAGTTCAGTCATTAATTTTGACCAGAAAGATTTGGGAACCATTGTGATATGAGGTATACCAAATTTGTTTCTGGTATTTTAGGAGTTGTTTGTTTGGACCCACAGAGACCAAAACATGGAGGATAATATAAAGGAATAAATTTTGTCTTTTACCCCTTTGGTTGAACCAAGAAATGAAGCCTCATGTCACATCATCCACAGTGACCCCTACCTTCCCCTCCTTCATTTTCCTTCTCTACTACACCCGCCCCACACGTAGGACTCTAGGTCTTCCCCAGGAAAAGTACATCAGGAACAACTCCAATTTTTCTAACCACTTCCTATAGTGAGATTAGGGTTTAGTTTAAGTATACAAAGAACTAGAAATAAATTGTAAAAAGCCAAGGGAAACTTAAGTAAAAAGTATTTAAGACAAAATGCACATTTCATCATCCCCTAAGCAAAAATTTTCCTATAATTCATAGTAAAAGTTAATCCTGATATGCATATTTTAGTTATAATAAGTTATAATGGAATGTTAAATGATTTTTGAGTCATAATGAAATTTTTTTTTTTTTTTGAGGGAAGGGACAAGTGAGCAAGGAGCAGAGAGAGAGAAGCAGGGCTCACTGAAGCAACGCTCCTGTTTTTACCCAGAGCAGGGCTCCTGCTCACCTGAAGTGGGGCTTAAGGTCACCTGATGTGGGACTTGAACTAATGAGCCATGAAATCATGATGGGAGCTGAAGTCAGATGCTTAATGGTTTAGCCACCCAGGCGCCCTTAATTTTTTTTCGTTAAAAAAAATTTTTTTTAATGTTTTATTTATTTCTGAGAGAGAGACAGTGTGAGCAGGGGAGGGTCAGAGAGAGAGGGAGACACAGAATCTGAAACAGGGTCCAGGCTCTGAGCTAGTGGTCAGCACAGAGCTCGACGTGGAGTTCGAACCCACTATGAGATCATGACCTCAGCCGAAGTCGAATGCTTAACTGACTGAGCCACCCAGGCTCCCCTCTAAGGTCTTAAATTTGAAATTACTTTTCTAAAAGTTTATTTTGAGAGAAAGAGAGGGAGGAGAGAAAGAGAAAGAGAATGAATGAGAATCCCATGCATGCTCTGTGCTGTCAGTGGAAAGCCTGACATGGGGCTTGAACTCAAACTGTGATCATGACCGGAGCCAAAATCAAGAGTCTGATGCACTTAACCAACTGAGCCACCAAGATGCCCGTTAACATTACTTTTAGTCAGTAAATTTAGGCATTGTGTTTAGGGAATAAGTTATTTAAACTAATTTTTGGCCTCAAACAAGAAATGAACACTTTTTAGGGATGCCTGAGTGCCTCAGTTGGTTGAGAATTTGACATAATTTTGCCTCCAGTCATGGATCTCATGGTTCCTGAGTTCAAGCAGTGCTGGTCAGCACAGAGCCTGCTTGGGATTCTCTCTCTCCCTCTCTTTCTGCCCCTTCCCTGCTCATGCATGCACTCTCTCAAAATAAATAAACATTAAAAAAAAAGAGAGAGAGAAATGAACACTTTTTGGATGGTTTATTGTACAAACTAATTTTCTGGTATTTAATACACAAAAATCTTAATATTTTTGAAGGAAGAGGAAGAACATGAAACCTTTGAACTGAGTAGAGAATATGAAGAATTAATCAAATTGAAAAGAAGTGGCTCTATTCAAGCTAAAAATTTAAAAAGCAAGTTTGAAAAAATTGGACAACTGTCCGAAAAAGAAATACAGAAAAAGATAGAAGAAGAACGAGCAAAAAGGAGAGCAATTGACCTCGAAATTAAAGAGCGAGAAGCAGAAAACTTTCATGAGGTATACTATTTTGTATTTAACAGCTATGGTACAGTAATTATGATGAACATAACAAATATAACATGGACTTTGAAGTAAGTTTTGGTATTTACAGTTAACCATAGACGCATACGATATTATCTGAGAACTAAGTAGCCAAGGCATATTAAAATGTTAGGAGACTCTGAAAGATTTCCTTACTCTAGCATTGTTTCAAAATGGCTTTTATTAGAATTAAAACCTATAGTGAACATCAGATAAGTCACTCCAGAAATAATAGAAGTATTTATTGGCACAAGTTTTATTTTTATTTAAAAATATTTTCTTTAATGTTTTAATTATTTCTGAAAGAGAGACAGCGTGAGCAGGGAAGGAAGAGAGAGGGAGGGAGAGAGAGAATCTGAAACGGGCTCCAGGCTCTGAGCTAGCTGTCAGCAGCACAGAACCCGACATGGGGTTCGAACCCACGAACCATGAGATCATGACCTGAGCCGAAGTCAGATCTTAACCGACTGAGCCACCCAGGCGACCCATATTGGCATAAGTTTTAGTTTGAATAAGTAGAACCGGTGTACGTATGGTTTAAAACAAGTTCCAGAAATTATTCATATTTACTTTCTTATTTAAAGATGAAGTAAATAAAGCCTAATGATCTGCTTAAAGTCATGCCAACAATTCAGTGGCAGAGCCTAACTCAGAATTCAGATGACATGAATTTTGAAGTACCTCTGCATATGTTAGAAAAGAGGCAATTACTAGATAACCTATAATGCTCCTTCCAGGTTAAGATCTAGTTCCATGATTCTGAGTACTGCTTTAACTAAGGATCTGGAAATTTTTTTTCTGCCAGAATTGCCATTTTATAATACTTAACAGCATTTAACTTATGTTCTTCTAACAAAGAATTTCCCATCAAATATTCAATAAGGTGGTGTGGGAAGTTGGGAGGGCCTTCAGGGGAGACTATGAATTAAAAGAATGAAGAAATTATGTGCAAATTCTTTGGAATATAAGCTATTCATTATTATTAAAGCAAGTAGAGTGTAAGAACAGCAAATATAATGATGCAGATGCAAACACAGGCAAGATGGTCATGGAAGGTCTCAGATGTCATGTTAAGGGACTCTGAATTGTTGTTCATTGAAGGAATTCTTAAAACATGGAGATATCATCAAATAGACATCTTCGTACCTAGATGACACTAAAGCTAAAGATGGTTTTAGATTCATGCATTAAAAAATTATTTGAATCCCTATTATGTTCCAGGGACTGTTCTGGATACTGGCAGTACACTGGTGAATAAATCTGCAGTCCTTGCTCATGTAGTGTCTAGAATCTAACAGGTAGGGAAGATGGAAAACAATTATTGAGTAGTAAAGTAAAAGCTATGGAAATTAACAAAGCAGGATACTATTTTTTGGAGTGTGGTCAGCGAAGGCCTGATGAGGATTTTGAACTAGAGATCAAATAGAGAAAACAGAACATCAGATATTCATTAATGAAGTTGGTATGCATTTGAACTCTGTGCAATGTACACAAAATCTTAAGGTTTGTTGTCACTGCTAAGAGCAAATGCTACTGCTAACATCTTCTATGCTGGGCCCTGTATTCAGTCTTGGGTTCATGTAAGTGAATATAATGAGCCCTCAAAAAGCTCAGCCTAAGGAGATGAAAATAATAATTTAAGTGCTAAAATAGGTCAAATAGGATGGACTCAGTATTCCTAGGAGAGTTTTAACAGAGCTGAGAAAATGGCATTTAAGCTAAGCGGGAAGGTTAAGTACAGCCTTTACATAAGGGTTGTGAAAATGTGTCTGGGAAGTTGAAAGTTTATTCAAAGGCATGGCTCCTAGAATAATAGGTAATAGAATAAAGTTGTAAAAGTAGTAGCTAATTGATACTGGGTCTTTTTAACCTTGCAGGGACTGTGATTTGAGAACAATGTTAGTGATCGTTTTAGGACAGAATAAAAAGCTTTTGTTTTTAAAGAAATCCAGTACCATGGAGAATGAAGAGGAAGAAAGGAATAGGGCATGAAATTGGGATTCAGGGAGGGAGAAAAATGGACCCAACTTTTAACCAAACTGGATAACAGGCTGTTTATGGGTAGGTGGTTGCTGAGAAGCCCCACATTATTTTAAGATTGCCAGGGAAACTAACTAGATGATACTACAGAGAATTCAGGTCTGGAGATGGTAGGGTGAATGGTTTGGGCCCGTGAGGTTTATGTATTTGGATAAGATAAAGGCAGTCTGAAACATAGGTACTAAGTTCAGGCAAGAGGCTGGAATTATATAAATTGTAACTATTATGAATAGTATTTAAACATATCAGAGTAGATAAAGCTATCTTGAAAAGGTTAATAGTTGGAAGGTGAACAATAAAACTGGAGAACACCAACATTTAGTGGCTGGATGGCCACAAGATCAGTTTTTACAGAACTATGTATCACAGAAGGCAAAGTTAGTCAGCATGTGCTTGCTCCTCTTTGTGATAAAGGTAGTGAAAACTCAGAGCAGTCTTATCTAGTCCTACAAAATATTTAGGAAAGATTAAAAGTGAGATAGTTGACTTACTGTTTTATTGCTCTTCTGTATGAAAGAACATGAGTTTAGGACGTGTGATTTCCTGAAAACCCTGAGGATGTCCTCACTGTGAAGGATGCTGACATCCTTCCTATCTTCTAGATTTAAAGGTCAGAGATATCCTTGAAAAACTTGTTAGCATAGTTCAGCCATTGAGTGCAATCAACTTCTAGCATAGGACTCCCCATACCCCTGATATTATCTGGTTTCCTCCTTTGAAAATGGGTGCTCAGGGCACCTGGGTGGCTCAGTTGGTTGAGTGTCTGACTTTGGCTCAGGTCATGACCTTGCAGTTAATGAGTTCAAGCCCTGCAACAGGTTGCGCTGACAGCTCAGAGCATAGAACCTGGAGCCTGCTTTGGATAAGGTCTCCCTCTCTGCCCCTCCCCTGCTTGTGCTCTCTCTCTCTCTCTCTCAAAAATAAACATTAAAGGGGTGCCTGGGTGGCTCAGTCAGTTAAGTGTTAGACTGTGGCTCAGGTCATGATCTCAGTTTATAGGCCTGAGCCCTGCATCAGGCTCTGTGCTGACACCTCAGCCTGGAGTCGGCTTCGAGTGTGTAACCCCCCCTTGTTGCTCCTCCCCCGTTCACACTCTTTCTCTTGCTCTCAAAAATGAATAAACATTGTAAAAACATTTTAATTAAAAAATAACAATGTCTGTGTTCAACACTCCTTGTTTGTATTCCAGACATTGTTCAAGGTAACCTCATCCATATAACCTCCCCCAATCAAAGAATTGCACAGTTCCTTGTAGCCCTTAATCTGTATCACTCATTTATTTAATCAATTGTTTTATAAGTGTTTGACTTTTTAGTTTTCCAAGAAGGCATACTCCAAAACCATTCTGTCCCTCACTTTTATCTCATGTTCACTGTCCAATTGTGCTTCCTTTAATATTCATGTGTTAGGTATCCATACCCTAAGAATGCACCCAGAGAACAAAGATCATTCCATTTTATAGGACTCTAGGTAGGTTCATTTCCCAGAAACATTTTTAGCCTGGCTTTCAAGGATTCAAGAAAAAGCAACACTTGTACTTAATAACTGAAAGACTAGTCATAAACTTTCTCCCAATTCATTTTCTAAAGGCAGGTTTTAAGTAGCTAAATGATTAAGTTATAAATTTGTACAAACCTTTTATCCTAAAATCCAGAAAGCAAGTTGAAGGAGATTCAGTACCTGTACCTGCAGAAATACTGTATCTTGAAGATTTGGTAAGCAAGAATGAAATTAACTGTATCCTGTAAACTGAGGTCCTTTTAATTTTTTTTTTTAACAGAAGTCCTTTTTAAACTGCAGAAAAGCCTGTTGAGATAAAACTGCAGCAAACAAACTGGTATTTAACATGTCTTTTAGCCTCTTTTAGTAATAAAAAACTATAGCAACATCATTCATTAGCAATTAACTGTAGTCCTGCATTGTGTTTATTAATAGGCATTGGATTTATCACTTCAAACTGAAACACTGGGGTTAATGGCATAGTAATAGATTTACCCATTAGCTATTTGGTTGTGCCTGATGTTCTAGGATCTTCCAACATCAAAGTAAAATCTGATTCCAGAAAACAAGAAAAACTATTCACTCCTACATTCATTGGAACTGAGGTACAATACTTCAAAGTGACGCAAAACATCCATGCAAAGATTTTTTTTCTTACATAGGCAATTACTTTAAAGCTTGTTTCAAAATTTACTAACATTAGCTGGATGTGATACCCTGAAGCAATTTCTTCACAGTACTATGAAATACAAAAGGTGAGATTTCCAGACATAAAAGTCCAGGTAGTTTAGAAACCAAGAGTCTACTACATCTAAAATACTTTAGAAAACCCTGAATTAACTGTACCTACAACTCCACTGTCCTAAAACTGCCCTCAAAGGCCACCAGTGACCCCATCATCACCAAATTGTTTTTTAGACTCACACTATTTAACAATTGAAACTCTGCTCTTAAATTCATTCCTAATTTCCATAGCTTCCAACTCTCAGCCTAAATAGATGACTAGCCATATACTTCAACTCAACGATTTCCCCACGTTCCAGCCAACGCCTCTTTCGGCAGTTGTCTTCCATTTATTCTGCCTGTGAAGACTCTTGTCTGCCATTTAGCCATCAATAAATTTCGGTGGATGGAATTCATTTCAAAGACAATTAGCTAAGAAGGGTGAGGAAGAATATCACAAAGTAGGAAATAACAGAAATTACATTTTCTATTATATAGTAGGGTGAAGAGTGATGGACACTCTTGTGACAAGGAAGTATTTTAACCATTGTTACAATGTATAACATCTCCACCCTTTTCTGTTATTCAGTACTATCAGCTAGCACAAAGAGTTGGTTGAGCAAATACATTGGGACTCCAATATTATAGAACCTTTACACTAGGGAGAAAAGGGTTCTAATTGTCAAGAGAATGTTTCACAAATAAAACTTTTTTTTCCAAATTAGGGGGCAGTGAAAATCTACATGTCTGCAGTGTAACACAAATATGTAAACCAAACATGGCAATTATTTTGTGTCCATAAATGACATCTTCAGAAGTATTGCTTTAGTTCTTGTTGGTTTCTAGAAAATGAGCAATTACTATTCTTGGCTCACTTTCATAAAGGAAGAAGATGTTGATGTCAAGCCTGCAAAAAAAAGTGAGGCTCCATTTACTCATAAAGTGAATATGAAAGCTAGATTTGAACAAATGGCTAAGGCAAGAGAAGAAGAAGAACAAAGAAGAATTGAAGAACAAAAGTTACTACGCATGCAGTTTGAACAAAAGGAAATTGATGCAGCACTACAAAAGGTACCAGGGCTTACATATCCTTTATTTTTCAAAGACGCTCTTAAAATTTTATGAGGGATTAGAAAAAAAAATTTTTCTTAGAGGAGGCAAGTGAGTGAGAGGCTGAGAGAGAATACCACCAGAGGCCGGGTGAGGTAGGGGGAAGGGAGATGAAAGGAAAAGGGAGGGAAGAGTGGGGCTCGAACTCACCTGATGTGGGACTAAACTCGTGAACTGTGAGATCATGACCTGAGCCCGAGTCAGATGCTTAACAACTGAGCCACCCAGGCATCCTAGAATAATTTTTAATGGCTTTTAAGATATTATAAAAGAGGTTTTATAAAGTACATAACTATAGTAATAAGCACATTTTACATGTTCTTTGGGAAGAAAAAACTCTTTTACCTATAAAATTCTATCACTAAACCATTGTCCTAAGAATTCTGCTATAAATGCCAACTTGAATGGACTTATTTTAATACAGAAAAGAGAAGAGGAGGAAGAAGAAGAGGGTGGTAGCATCATGAATGGTTCCACTATTGAAGATGAGGAGCAAACGAGATCAGGAGCTCCATGGTTCAAGAAGCCTCTAAAAAACACATCAGTTGTAGACAGTGAGCCAGTCAGATTTACTGTTAAAGTAACAGGAGAACCCAAACCAGAAATTACATGGTGGTTTGAAGGAGAAATACTCCAAGATGGAGAAGACTATCAATATATTGAAAGAGGAGAAACTTACTGCCTTTATTTACCAGAAACTTTCCCAGAAGATGAAGGAGAATATATGTGTAAAGCAGTCAACAACAAAGGCTCTGCGGCTAGTACCTGTATTCTTACAATTGAAAGTAAGAATTAATCACTTTTAATCTAGAACTTTTATTGTATTTAAATTTTTTTCCTTAAAAAAAAAAAATCACTTTTCTTCTTCTCTTTTTTAGCTGACGACTACTAGCTTCCCTTCCCTCTCCCTGGAACTTTCTCTTTCTCTCTCCCCCCCTCCGAATTTCTTACTACATCCATGTTTTCTGTGGCGGGGCCAAAAATGGAAACCAGAAGTGCCACTATATTGACTTTTTATTCCTTTTCCTAACAGTCTTCAAAACACAAGCTCATCTAAAGAATAGCTTCTTCCTTTCCAAATCATCACCAGATTCGTCGCCCTATTATGCAGAAGTTAATGTGTATTTAATGGGGTAGAGTGGAAAAGTTACTCAATTATTCTAAGTTTCTAGCAATTATATTTTAAAGATCACAAAATACATTACTTTGCATGAAAAAGTGACATTTATGAGCTATTTACACCTATAATTAAGAAGACTTCATGAATTTGGAACCTATCAAGTTTTTAATAGTCATCATTTTTCTTGTTGTAGTTTTAAAGTCTTTCTGAAGCAGATAGGGAAAAGGGGGAGCATGGAGAGCAACAAAAATTAAGACTTTTAAGGAGAAAATTTAATGGAAACCACTGCCTATACAGAATTCTGAGTGTTGAGACTATTATTAACATGTACTATTCAAATGTGTGTTATATTCAAGCTTATAAAGCAAATTTATGTTGTGACCTTGCCTGAACAAATTATATTTTAGTAAGAAAACTTTGTACCAGTAATTCATGCAGAAGAAAACACTTTCAACATAATTGAAGATTTCAAGGTCTAAGAGGGGGGAAAAAGGCATAATCTTCAGTTTTAAAATGTGGTATAAAATAAGTTTGTTTGTAAATAATTACCATGTTCTATTACCAAGTTGTTTTATATTTTAGTTTTCTGGAAGACAGTTTTATTTTACAATGTAAACCCATAATAAAATAACTTGTGTATTAAAAATAAAGTCTTTCAATATTTTAGAAAAGAAACAACACTCCCTTGTAATATTCATCAATGTACATTTATTTCTTTTATTGAGGAAACCATAATCAATACAAAATTACAGCAATCATGTGCCCTTTTACATACAATGTCATTAAAGCAAACTCTAAACCACAGTTTGTAAAGTATTCAATTTACCTCAAGTCCAAGCTGCATCTCCCTAAGACACTGTTCCCATCACAGTAGCCATTTTAAGCCAATCTTCTTTTTACACACGGGTAGTTTCTGTAGAGAACACTTTTCTCAGGACGAAAATGCATCGAGCATGCATAAGAAAAAATATATATATATATGCGCAAATACATTTAAGAGTTTCTATAGGGCTATCATTGAAGAAAATAAAACCTTGGGATTTAGTTGCTTCTTTTTCAAAAGCACCAATTTAAATCCCTCAGAAGTTTATACTGTGACAAGATAACTCAAGTGACTAAACAAAAAATAAAGGTTATTTTCAGTGTCAAAATTATCTTTAGGTACTGTTAAAATACATTTGAAAATGAGGCAGAATTTTCAGAAAATAAAAAGACATCCTCATTGATTATTAATGTCTACATCCTTACTCTAGACAACAGATGTTTGCAGGTAGAATTGGTTCTCCTGGCAGAGTACTCAAACAAATGTTATCACTTCTGCATATATTCCTATTTCCCTCTTAAGATACTCTGCTACTCCTACCCAAACCCATCCTTTTGAATTAACTACTAAGGTATTTGTCTAAGGAAATATCTTACAGTGTTTATAAGCTAATATTAAATCATCAGTTTTAGTATTAAAACCATTTTCATTAATTAAAAATAAAAGTATACTTTTCATTTCTAAAAGAAACATTAAACCCATTAGAATTCTAGTATCACCACACTAAAATATCTTAAAAAACAAAACAAACACATTGTCAAGTTTTTAAGTGCTAAATAAATCAGTTCAATTTCAATCTAAACATTGTTTCTACCACTCCTAACATCCATTGCATTCAAGTCAACTGGCTCACCTTTTCTGCTTTCCATGTATTTCAAGGTTAAGATTAGCGCCATGTAAAAAAATGCAGTATCAGTGAAGGCTTATGGTAATGAATTAAAAAAACTCTTGAGATAGAAACAATGCCCCAAATATCTATTAGCATTCATCTATATTTTATAAAAATGCAAACTACAGCTAACCAAAAATTGAAAGGCTCCTTAAGGTTCAAAGATCTCCTTTATATTATTAATCTTAACACACCTATCATTGACTATTAAAACAATACATACACACACATAAATGTGGTGCAGTAACTATACAACTTACAAAATTTAACAGTTCATGGAACATTTAAGATCAAGCGAATAGCACTTTAAAATGAAAAGTGATCAAAAGCAGGTACATTACACCCTATACCATATTATGTATGGGAATACATTTCATATTTCTCAATTATGATTTGCCAATTTTACCTTCTACATTGAGCCCTTCTATGGTCCATGCTCATCGGCTCACCAATGGCATACACTCAAAGGATTCCTCTTTATGGGTAACTATCTCAGGACCTGATTTTATGAGCTATGATTTGGTGCTTGCAGCATCTTCAGCACTGTGTGTGAAAATGAAGGCAGTATTTTTGAATATTTTTCTTTGTTGTAGAGATAAGCAGGAGTTTTAAAAGGATCAGCACATTTTAGAAACTGAATAAACAAAACTGATAGGATGCTGCTTTAATACATTCATCTTAACTAAAAATATGTACCAGTTAAAATCATCTATAAGAACACAAACATTTTAAACTGGCAAAAAAGTAAAATGCAGCGTCAATTATTAAAGTATTATAAATCAGAAAAATATTGGTTGCTATACAGATTACGAAAGGTTATTTGCTATACAGTTAACATTTCACTGATGCACATGCCTTATCAAAACATACTGCCAGTATTCCTTATATTTTCCTTTTTCAGCGTATATAAAATTTAAGAAAACTGAATTGTCTAAAAAAAGTCATAATAAACTCTGACCCATAATATCCTTACTAAATTATTATACTTCAAGAATAAGAAAAAAATAGACTCCATAGCTTTGGAGGGCAAAGAAAACGTCCTGTCAATCATAAAAAGATGGTGAAGGCTGTTGAAGTTTCTAACCAAGTGATTTCCTAAATCTTGAAACTATGTAATTGCCCTTTCTTAATTTTAACAATTCTTCCACAGTTGGGAAAAGATTACAAAAAGTTTGGATGTAGTTCAATTACAGCAGCAATCTACTCATTTCTTTTTTGTTTTAATAAAAAAAATTAAAATAAAAAACATTACCCAGAAATGTAAACAGTTGTTTGAACAACTTACAGACTTTCCACTGAAAAGGTAGCATAAATAACAAAATACATTTTGGGGAAGCAGTAGCAGATTGCTTTTGAATACACAACCACGAAAACCTCACAGGGACAACATTAATGTACTGAAATATTTATTTATATATGTCCTTAGGTTGTGCTTACCTGTTGCTTTTTGCAGCAGAACCTAAGGTGGAAGGTCTGGGAAGGCACTGTGAAGTATAAATAATTGCACTGTTTGCAATTAATAAAGATTTTAAACCTTAAATGAATCAAAATCAACAGCCTCCAATTTGTGAGTTATGATATTGAATCCAACTGAACTATTTCTTCAGTTTAATTAATAAATGCACCACTTTCCTAAAAGGTCATCTATAAAACAGTATCATGCAAAATACTGAAATTGTTCATGTCAATTACCCTACTCTTAAAGGTAACACATAACTAACTCCTTAACTATTAAACTTCGAACTAGAACTATATATCCATATCTAAATAAGGGCAAGGGAAATCACTCCAGGTTCTATAAAACAATCAAAAACATTTCAAAATATCTATAATGAACTGAACTGCTATTTTCTACCCTGTAAGTAATCTCAACATTTATGTCCTTGTACATCTTCCTTTACAGTATATTCAGAACTGGTGCTCCCTACCAATGAAAAGACTATATATATATTTATGAAATGGTGTTAAAACTGCTACATTGCTTAGTATTTGCAAACTGAAAATCACTTCTGTCTGATACATTTTCAAGTCTTTCATATTAATATATAAGATATGCATACTGTACACTGAAAAGCAATATATTTTAGGAGCACCAATGAGTAATACTATTCAATTTTCATGATCAGTTTTCTTTAGCTATAGCTAAAGCATATCAAAAATACTTACCCATTAAGCTCACTTAAAAAAAAATACAGACCTATGTATTATTCTATGTTAAATTAAGAAGCAGTTAGGGTTTTCCAAGATATCAGCACTGTATTCCAACATAATATTCACACAAAGTATGGCATTTACATTATGTGGAACATTGACAAAAAGATACTGTTGCAGTTCATCAATTTGTCATTCTGATGTACTTACAGTGCAATGCTCCTTGAAGGAACACAATCAAGGATGATACACAGCACAGTCCTCCTCACCCCTACAGAGCTAGTTCTATACTGGCTGGATCAAACCTGCACTTCAACAGACAATGGCAAGACAGACTGTATTTGCATGTAGTCTAATATATTAATATGCAAAGAGCCAACAAATATGCAAAGAGTAAAACAATGGATTTCAACAAAATATCAGAACTTCAGCATGAGTGTTAAAGAGTAATAAAGTGATTTCAAGTACATAAAAAATTAAGTTGATTCAATGATTGGACTTGTGCATTTACAAAACAAAGCTTATCTATACTGCAAAAAGAAAAAAAAGAAAAAAGCTTGAACATTTCCATACCCCAATAATGTTTCAATGGCAGATGCACTGTAGCTATACTTTTTGCATACTATTCACTTTTCTACCCTAAATTTAAAAAGAAACACACTAATATTGTATACATTGAAAGTTTCTTTACATGAAAAAACTTCTTATTCAACTACTCATATTCACTATCTGAAAACTGTTTAAAATTAGTTATGCTGAAACAGTCTTGGAAATCGAAGTAATTATCAAATTAAGAACAGAAAGGTTAACTGTTATAGCAGCAGTACAGATCTGAAACAGTGGTCATGTATAAAAGGAAATTTCACTGTTAATGCAATGGAAGTATGCCAAAAGATCACTGTACACACATGCAGTTTTTAATCAAACAGAAGGAAAAAAAATGAAGATATCAGGATTACTTGTGCTGAAACAGCCAAATACAATAAATGGAAAAGATCCTCCAATCTACTACTATACTGCAAGGGGGAAAAAACATGCCAGTGTTTAAAAACTCAATTAATATTTCATGGGGAAAGCTTATATTTTGTGTATATGTATCTTAATTTATCATTGCTAAGAAATTATGAATCCTTTAAATACCCACATATCCAACTTACCGACACAGGAGGTTTCATATCATTTATTGTAAAGCACAAAACAGGCATTTTAAAAGTGAAAGTATACATTGAAAAAGTACATTTATATCACAAAGCATTGACCACATAATAGTTGCAAATACATTTGCTGGAATGTGTACATCTACACTAAATACTAAAAACAAACCAATTTTCATTTCTACACAGAAATATTAACCTCCTATCAGTAGTGATAGATATTTTGTACATTTTCAAAAAAAAAAAAAAACACTATTTTAAACCAAAAACAAAATTAAGATCTTCATCAAGTCGTCTGCATCCATATATTTAACAAAGGTTTTTTTCCCCCACACAATGAAGCAAATACTGTATTGTCCACTTCTTATTATTGGCCCTGTGCAGAAGAGATACATAAGAAATACACAAAAAGTTAAAGAAAATCCTTTAAATGGAGCTAACTCAGGAGTGAATCCTTTAAGAAAGAAAAACTGGTTAATATAAATGGTGGTGGCTTCTTGCATGATTTGCAAATCCCTGGGGGAAAAAAATTTATTTTTAAAATCAAAGGCATTGTAGAAATATTCAGCACTCAGATGCCAGAAAGCATTATAA